TTGCCTGCTGCGCAAGCACAAGGACCCGAGTTCGATCCCCGGTATCAAAAAAAAAAAAAAAATTAATCAATGGCCAGGAGTGGTGGTGTGTGCCCATAATCCCAGCATTCAGGGGGCTGAGGCAGGAGGATCATCATAAGTTTGAGGCCAGCCTGGACCACACAGTGAGTTCAAGGCCAGGCTGAACTACATGGGGAGATCCTGTCTCAAAAAAAAAAAAGAAAGTATCTGATGGTGTCAGGTATAGTATGGGGCACATCTATAGTCTTAGCATTTGGGAGGCTGAGGTGGAAGAATCTCTTGAGTCCAAGAGTTCAACACCAGCCCGGGCAACAGAATGAGACCTCCTCTCAGGAAGAAAAAGTGAATAATGGGGCTGGAAGTGTAGCTCAACAGTAGAGCACGTGCTTACCATATATGAGGCCCTGGGTTCAATTCCTAGTAATAAAAACATTTAAATTATAACAGATATAAAGGATGATTACAGTGTATATAGACCATCTTCCCATAACATGGACATTCTATTGTTAGAGATAAACAGCCTATGAAACATTTAATTTGGGAATATTGTGGGATTTGAACCTGCAGGAATCGTGTCAACAGTTTTTAGAACCTAGTAAACCTTAGCAATCTGAATGTGTATCTGTGTCTGTTCTACTCTTGGCCTTATTGCTGAGTTCCTCCCCAACACACTGTCTAAACTTCTCTCCCTTTCTGTCTCTGTCTCTATGTCCTGGGATCAAACCAAAGACACTGTACCTGTTAGGCAAGTGCTCTACCACTGAACTACAAACCATCACTAATTTTCTGACATAAGATATAATGTTCTAGCTGCACTCTGGGAGGCAGAGGCAGGAAAATTCCAAGTTCCAGCTCAGCCTGAAAGATTTAGCAATTTAGCAAGACCCTGTGTCAAAATAAAAAATTTAAAAAGGGCTGAGAGCTGAGCACAGTGGTGCGTGCCTATAATCCCAGCACTTGGGAGGCTGAGGCAAGAGGATTGCCATGAGTTCGAGGCAAGCCTGAGCTACACAGTGAGACCCTGTCACAAAAAGGGGGCTGGAGGTTGGGGATGTAGCTCAGTGAGAAGGCCCTGGGTTTGATCCTCAGTACTACAAAAAATAAAAACAAAAAAGGAAACTAAGCTGACTTTGGCCAAGAGGCAGCTGATGTGGAAACCGAGTATCAGGACCACTTGTTTATTGTTTCAACTACCTATAAATGTTATCCATGGGACAGTCAGGATAGGAAAAGATCGTGAACGTGGCAACAGCTGTTCTACTGTTGTTTTTTTGGTACCGGGGATTGAACAGCTGTTCTACTGTTATAAACGCAAATACTGTTCTTTCCTGGAGCCACTTCTATGCAACAGCCTTATCAAAGACTCCCAATCCCTTTTGATGCCATCAAGGTGCTTGGTGCTTCTGAGGACTCAGAGGCCCGGGCAGGGAAGCACTCACTCCACTAGTCACCTGGGCCGGGGATTTAGCTCAGTAGTTTCAATGCCTGCTGCCCAAGCGCAAGGACCCAAGTTTGATCCCCAGTACCAAAAAAAAAAGACCACTGGTTGCCAGCCACACTGGGGCCTCCCTCCTGTCCAGTCGCCTTATCTCCTTTCATGCATCACTCACCATGCAAGGAAGGGGAGATGGTCCCAGAGGGTCAGATCAGTGCCCCCACCAAGGCAGCCAGTGGAAATGTTGGATCTTTTGAGCCCAGAATGTTTGCAAAGGCCCTGGCCAAGGTCAACTTCAGGAGCCTCACGTGCAAGGTAGGGGCTGACGACCTGTTCCCCCAGCAGGGCCCATACCAACAGGGGTGCTGCCCCTTCACCAACATTGTCAGCTGAGCAAAACAGACAGGATCTGAGGAATCTGATGATGACATGGGTGTTGGTCGTGGTTGGTTGGTTTATTTTTTCTATTTTTTTGAGACAGGGTCTAGCTATGTAGTTCAGGCTAATCTTGAATTCACTACGTAGCCCAGGCTGGCTTGCAAATCACTACAATCCTTCTGCTTCAGCCTCTCAAGTGCTGAAATTAGTAGGCTTTGGTTTTTTTGAACTAAATCTTTTTTTTTTTTTTTTTGGTACCAGGGATCAAACTCGAGACCTTGTGCTTGCAAGGCAGGCGCCAGAACCACTGAGCTAAATCCCCAGTCCTCTAAATCTTTTTTGTAAAATGTTAAATAAAAAGTTCAACTGTGCCAGACATGGTAGCACACTCTGGTAATCCCAGCTACTTTGGAGGCTGAGGCAGGAGGACTGAAAAGTTTGAGGCCACCAGGGCAATTTGGCGAGACCTTGTCTCAAAACAAAAAACAGAAATGGGGCCGGGGATTTAGCTGAGTGGTTTCGCCACCTGCTGCACAAGCGCAAGAACCCGAGTTTGATCCTCGGTACCAAAAATTTTTAAAAAATAAAAT